TAATCAAGATTTGCAGTATTAGGATCTTGGTTGGTTAATATAGGCATTTTTGAAGTTTGTTATAAGTTAAATGAATATTATATTAAAAACTTAGAAAAATTTCTAATAGTTGGATAATAATTTTACAAGAGTAGCAGATAGAAACAAGGTTGTATAGTTGAGGTATTATAGATGTAATACTGGTATATAACTAGATTGATTGGGGTTACAATATGACTTAGGTACTGGTACAGATAAGATTTGTAACACAAATTGTTGTATACAATTAATAAAAACCAAATGATGAAGTAACTAATTGTGTTTAATAAATTTTTATAAATAGATGAAGCACAAAATTTTGGTGTAAATTAATAAATTATAATTTAGGAAATAATGATATAGTTATATGAAAACCATGTAAGAGAAAAAGGAGATAAGGTAGGAACAAAAGGTAAGAAAAAGTTTTTGCAAGAGAGTAAAAAATAAATTTAGCTGTATCTTAGCCAATATTGGGTCAAAATTCTTCTTTCAGAGCTTGTTTTGACTAGGCAAATGTGTGCTATAACTTTAATTAAGAGTGTAGGATGAGTTATTGCAGTAGAAACTATGAGAGAATTAAATTTTTAAAACTGGAAGCCAAAGGCCATTAGTACAGTTATCTCTATGACTTTAAGAGATAAATTTATAATATTTTAAGAATATATGTAAATTGATGAGTTGAACAAGTTTACTTAAGATACTAGGATAGCTTGACTTAGTAAAATAAGTAGATATAAGTGTTTTAGATGAATGGTTTTTTTAGTTAATTTTTGTGTAATGGATTTGCAAAAAGAGTTACATCTAACAAATAATTGTATTAGTAATAGAATTAATAATATATATATATATATATATATATTTTAACTTTTGGCAGTTTTGCCAATATTTTTTATTCAAATGATTTTTCATAACTACAACAAAGTCTTCTAAGACCATATCTTTATTATTCTACTTTTAAATATTGACTCATCAGGTTACTTTTTAGAGTACCTATATGTGACTTGCTATAGTAGATATTGTCTTAATATCTATTATTTCAAATTAACTAAACCTTAAAACTATATTACTGAATGCTTTTACAATCTTGTTATATTTATTAAATCTTTAAATTTCTCTTCTTCTAATTATTGAGCAAGATGATTCTATAATCCTTATCTAAAGAATAATAAGATATAAAAAAAACCAAAAAAAAAAATAAAAAAATCAGTTATTATGTTATCAATTCTTTCTGACAATCATTCGAACCAAACTTTTCAAAAAGCCAAACTACAGAAAAATAATATAATTAATATATTAAACTTTATAAAAACTTTTTTAGAGTACTGTACACACATAATTGAACATTGAAATAGAGTTAAAAAAGAAGTTGCAGTTTTATAGTGACAGTTTAAATGTACTTTGGGACTATGTAGTTAGTGAAAACTAAAGTTTTTTATAAAGTAAACAATAAAGTTGGATATATTAGTTCTATATAACTGTAAAATTTACAAGGAATATCTATAAAGGTTAAGAACTCACAAAAGCTACAAAGTTGGTTTAGATCTTGTCTTTACTTTGCTTTAAGAAAATTTTGTAAAAGTGTGTGATTTAGCTTACCTTCTTCTAAAGATCGATATATAAAACTACCAAAACAGTCAGCAGTGTTTACTTCTTAAATAAGTTTGTTGATGATGTAGATCAAAACAAGACAATAATACAAACATGACTATACATGTGCCTCAAAATACTAAAAAACCTAAAAATACTGCCTCTGAACTAACTAGTGCTCTATACCGACTCTCTATGATCAAGTCAAAGATTTTTTCTTTCCTACATAGTTTTTTATTAAATAATCTAAGTAAATAAAAAAATAGTAGAGTTATTTCTATTTAGTATAGTTTATAATTTTTAAAGGCCCAACATAGGCATACAATTGTAACTGTTTAATATTTGTAAATTGCAAGTTTCACATATTTTCTTTTTTCTTATTTATTCCCTTTCCTTTTTTATTTCTTAATTTGTATCTTTTAGTGTTTACCCCTATACCTCTGTTTTGTTTTTTACATAAAAAATTCTTTTTTTTTGTTTTTTGCTTCCCTATGAAAAGATGTCATCAGATTGGTAATGTTCTATTATAAGACAGCAGTCAGATGAGCAGTCTATTTCTAACTGGAATAGTGTAGCAGATCATACTTAGATACTATTTGAGTAGTCAGATAATGCTAGACTTATATATCAGGAAAATTCTATGTAATCTGTATAGTTTCAAGAATTCTAATAAAGTACTAGCATGACTGCTAAAATTAAAAAAAAAAATAAATAAATAAATTTATATATAAACTTGATGGTATATTTTTTTTGTAATCTTAATTACGAAAATTTTTATTATTTAAATATTTTTTGAGTTTATAAGTAAAGTTGTAGAGTAGGTTCTTGTGATTCTAACAATAGTAAAATCATTAAAATTTGTTTAAAACCTATCAAAATATGAATTTTAAAGATTAGATATAAAAATTTATTATTAAAACTTTCTTATAAGTTTTTAGAAATTAGCCAATTAAAGTTGATCCTTTTGTGTAATTAGGGAAAAACATAGAGCATCCAGGAAAAATTTAAAATATATACAAATATAATTTTTTTAAATTAAACATCTTATAAAATTTTTAAAATAATAAATAATTTATTTAAATCTATATATTATTGAATTTTGATAAAAATTAATTAAAAAATAAAAAAGTTTTATTAGTAACATATTTTAATTTACTATATAAAAATCCATTATATCATCTAGGTCATATGAAAAATGATCTATATACACCCTACCTTTAAGTATCTGTCTAAGATAATCCAATTCTGATTAGACCAATCTTTTGTTATAAATATTCTTTATATATATTATATTACTTACTATTCTAGTTTGATTACTCTTCTAATTAAATACTGTATAAGTTAAATACAAAAATGTTAGTATTGCCTCATTATTTAGAGAATTACTTGTGTAATACTATTATATAACCAAACTTTCTGTAATGTCATTATTATACATAGTACCTTTACTTTGCAAAATTAGTCTTCTTATAAGAATTTTTAATTTGTTTTATATTTTATTTTAAAACTTTTCATATGGCTCTGCATTTAATTTGGCTTCTATTTTTAGATTACAAAGTTAAAATCCTAAGATTTTTGTCTTTAGCCTAACTTGAACTGTTGACTAGTCTGTGAAATTGAATTAAATCTTAATTAGTATTGCAGCAAACTACTAAATTAGTATTATTATTATTAATATTAATACAAAAATTAACTAATCACAGCTTGTACTATAAAGAATCATTAGAAGACTAAGAATAGAACTAAACTGGTATTACTATTAAATTAGAAAACCTTTTACTTTAGAATATTATCAGTTTAGTTTAAGATAGAGAAATAATTGTAAATAAATAAACTCAGATTTGAAAGTTATAAGAGTGTTAGTAAAATACAAGTGATGATATAATTATATAATAAAGATGTGAAAACATATAATATAATATAATAAATAGATAAAAAAATAAATAATTAAATAATTAAATAATTAAAATAATTTATTAGAAGCTCAATAAATTGCTAAAAGATGCTTAATGAGTCTGTAATAAATTAGTTTTAAAAAACTATTATTGTAACAGGTAATTTGAGTAAGTTCAGAGATAGGAGCAAATGTGACAAATTGGCACTAAAAAAAATAATTATGTTATATAATGTTCCTCAAAGATAATAGAGGTGGTTAACAATTTGGTACAAGGTCAAAGCAATCATTTAAGAAGCATTACAAGATAAGTACTATGGTTTTCAAAAAGCTTATTATATTGGCAGTTCAAAGAGTCTTTTATTAATAACTTTATTAATATTTTTGTAGAAGCAGTACAAATGTATTGTTAGAGGTTATTCAAATTATATTGAACTATGCTGAACTATACTGAGATACCTTTCAGGAAGGGGAAATTCTACCTTTTTTTAATAAATTTTACCATAAAAGAGCCTATACAAGACCATGACTCTTCTTATTATTTCCTATCTTTTCCAACCTTATTTGTTACAACCTTTAACCACTTCTATACAGCCTTTCATTACTTTAACATTTTTTATAACTTTCATAGTACCAATAAGAAATGTTTCAGTTTTTCGATCCTGGGGCCAGAACCTATCATATTGTCTTCAATCACACCCCTCTTGACATCACCTACATCTAACCCAAGTAAGGCAGATGAAGTTAACATCCATTCTTAGCATAACAGGTTGGTCTAGGTTGACATTACTTTAATTAGAGGGGTGGTTTGGTTTCACATAGAGGCTTGTGTATTTTTATATAGCTTCTTTTGGAGTCAGATGCATATGTTTCAGATAGATCATCATGGGCAACTCTAATTAGGTAAGTATGCCACAATGACATCCATTTTACAGATTCCATAAGGTGTCAGTTTTACCTCTAACATTATATAAAATAACAATAATTTATGAGTAAATCTTTTGAGAATTAATAAACACAATTATAATAATGTAATAAAACTAAAAATAAGAGAATTTGATAATAATATATGTTGTTTTCAAATTTAAAATGCTTACTAACTTAAATTTAATAATTTATTTATAAAAATAGGTTGAAATCTGAGACTTTATTGAAAATAAAAAGCAAGGTCTTATATACAAGTTTTTAGATATACAAAGAATTACAAATTTTTAGAAAGATAGTAAGTAAATACATTATATTCATTTTCTATTCCTCAATCATTTTTATTGATGAATACATTCTTCTTTATTAATAATCAACTCTTTTACTATATTTTTAATTTATATAAATATTTTTACAATAAGAATGCAGATTGATTCTTTTTATATCCAATCTAAAGAAAATAACTCTTGCATAATCTTTAATATGACTATTAACAAATATGAAAATTTATATAATTAAGTATTATATAAATAAGGATAATAATAATTATATAGATTCTAACAATAATTTAACTAATATGACAATTAATAGATCTGAATATGAGGATAATAATAAATTAAAAAACAAAAAAAATATGCCACATTTAGTAAGGTAATAAAGATAATAATAATTACTTAGTTATAACTATTTGTATAATGAAATTGAATTCACAACTGTTCTAAAAAAAAACATGATAACATTAGACTATTATTATTATTTAATTAGTTCTACTAAGAACCAGACTAGACTAGACCAGACAATGCATCCTTAGATTTTCTATGTCTATAAACTGACATCTTATATACTAAAAAATTTTATTATAAAAATATAAAATAAAAAAGTATATTAATAAAAAATATTTTATTTATATAAAAATTTCAAAAGTCTTGTGTGTCAATAATATAATAATTGTGCTCTCAGTTTTCCAATTGCAAGGTCACCAGTTTAAAAACAACAGCTGTGCCAAAATCATAATTAAAGTTCAGTTATAGACTCTTATAAGACATTTCAAAATAAATATAAAATAAAACACCTTCATCTGAAAAACAAGAAGCTTCAGAAAAAGAACAGTTCCAGTAATATCTATTTGTAATTGTATCATCTGACAAAATCCCCTAGTTGTAGTTGGGTTATTTAGTAATTCATTTGTTAGCAATTAGGATTAATAAAATAGTTAATTTATTGATATATAGATAATTAACTCATATAATTCTTAAATATGGGTAATCTTACAAATTTAAAATATCACTTTAATTAAAAATGAGTTACTGTAATAAAGCAGGTTAAAAAAATTTTTCAAAATAAGTATAATTTGTTCTTTTAAATAATTACTTATTGAATTTATTTAATTTTTATATATGTTAGATCAGATGACTACCAGGTGACCAGAGTTAAATAATCTGTAATAATTGGTCTAAATTTACCTGTAAGTTTTACCCTAACCCACAAGCCAGGCATCATCGATGCAAGAATGTATCTGAGGCATAACATATACAAATGTTATTGTATAATCAAATATATTGAAAATTTTAATAAATACAGTAGATCTTTTATAATTGATGAAATTAACACGAGTAAAATAATAAAATAATTATTAAAACACCTATCCATCAAATATAATCACAAAGACTAATTTCTCTTTCAGACAACCCATTAACCTTCTTTTTTTTTTTAATGTTATAAGTGACAATCTTGCCTGTCAGTTTTTTATTGATTAATATCTAGTTATTAATGAATACATAGTTTATCAATAAAAGTATAACTAGCCACACGTATAACTTTAGTTATTATCTAATTAAGGGTTCCACCCGAGGGTTACCCACTAGTTACTATACCTGAGATCTGCCTGTGAATCCCCTATTTAAACTTTCTGATTTTCAATCCTATGCATTACAACCTTTCATTACTACATGGACATACCAGGCTAGGGCTATCTAATTACTATTTATATCAAGGTACTTCCTTATTGGATGTTACTGAGTATTCATAGTCTTTCGAATTTACCCTCGACGCAGACTTACTAAGTATGATACCAAGATTACCCCCCTTAGATTTTATCTGTGTTAGTGTATCCTATATCCACTAAACTGGTTTTGGTGCCAGAGGTGTTCGAGTTTCAGTAAGTCCATTCCTTTCCCATAGTTTCCTTTTATGTTCACTGTATCACTCGCTAGTGCGCCTTCTCTCCATTTCTGGTATGTTCACTGCTTCTCTCGCATTGAGCACCTGGCATTCGGAAATTGAATAAGGAAATCAGATTGTTAGAAGATCGCAAAGTTAGAGACCAAGTCAGTTCTGTTTGGGCTCGAAAGCCTTGCTGACCTACTGAAAGGGTCTTGGATCTTGATATTTACAGACAACCATACAGCTCTGGCAACAATGAGGTTAGAAGGCAAATGCTGATAGCAAAAGGAGGCCTATAGAAGGTTGTGACAGACTTGTTTAGAAAAAGATATTTGGATTTATAAATTAAAATAAGTACTATTAGTGAAGAATTCAGCAGATCTTTGGACATAAGCCTTTGATTTATCAGACTGGTACATCAGGAAGAAAGTGTTTCAAGAGATAGAGGCAATCTTTGAGCCATATACAATCAACTGCATAGCATCTCATATAAATACAAAACTATAAAGGTTCAACAGCTACCACTTCTATCCTGGAGTGGAGGCAATAAATTGCTTTACCTAAAGGTAGAAAAGCAAGATAAATTATGTGTGCCTGCCCTTGCATTTGGTACAGAAAGTGCTGCATCATGTAAAGAGCTGCAAAGTAAAGATGACATTAGTAATATCAGAGTGGCCATCAGCTGAGTAGTGGCCATTACTTTTGGAATTAAATTGGAGAGCATTGCCCCTGCCAGAGCTGAAAGTTACATTTGCACCAGGCCCGTTGGGGTTTGTAGAGCCCTGGAGGAACCCAAAATAGAAATTCTTGGTGGTGCACATTTGGCTATAAAGAACCTGTTCCAGAAAGCCAAGATCTTAGTGAAGAAATCTGTATCTCCATTCTATAGAGCTAGGTCAGTGAAATATTTAAGGCTATATAAAAAATTTTGTAAGAGGTTCGATTTGAATGTAAGAAACCCACAGGAGGATGAGATCCTGGTGTTCATCTTATAGTTAGATGTGATAGGCCTGGCATTTCAGGTTTTACAGATTCTTCAGTTAATAATAAATAACCTGTGCTTAAAAGAAAAGAAGGATTTTAAGAAATCTTTAGTAGTGATGCAGGTCTTAAAAGTAGTAAAAAAGGAAGTTTCGAAAAACAAGATACCAGACTGGCCACAAGACCCACTTCCAGTTGGGGCATTAAGACATTATGTTGCCACACTACCACTCTGAGCAATTGGATCTATGTACAGAAGGGATATGGCCCTAGTAGCATTAGAATTAAGAACAATGCAGAGACCAGAAGAACTAGAAGAATTAACTATGAAGGATATAAGGTGAGATGATGAAAGAACTCTGTAGATTCAAATCTGCAAATCGAAGACTGATCAGTTTAGAAATAGAAAGTTTATTCTAGTAGAGAATATAAAATTGAGGTACTGTCTGATTAGGCTTTTGAAGCAATACTTAAAAATCCAACTAGTGATGAGTCCAAAAATGCCTTTATTTTTATTAAAACAAGAGAAGAAAGTCTTAGTCTTAGCAATAGGCTTGATAGTAAAGCAGTTTACTAACCACACAGGTTTGAGTAGCAAATTTACAGCCTATTTATTAAGAATTAGCAGGGTGATAGCTGCGATGATGACAGAAATAAGCCTTACACAAATTCAGACAATTGGAAGTTGGGACTCAAAGGCAGTGATACTATATTTAAGAACAGTTTCAACAGCAAATATGGGTACTTTAAACTGCATAGGCTTCTAAAAAAAAAAAAAAGTAGAAAAAAAAAACAAAGAGGATAAAAGAAATAGTAAATAAGAAGGTATAATAGGGCATGCAGCCTAAGCAAATGGAATTAAATAAAAGACTAAAATGGCATACAGCCAAGTAATTATATATTCAGTAAATTGGAATTGGAAATAAGAAGAGCACATAGCCTGGAGAAAAAAAAAAAAAAAAAAAAGTAAGAAAAAGCAAGAAAAGGAAAAAGTAGGTAAATAAAGTTTTAAAATATGGCATATAGCTAAATAAAATAAATTTGAGGAACTATAGGCAGAGACCTGAAATAAGTTCATATTATTGGACTAGTAGGAGGGCCTGAATACCATTTCTTGAACAATTCTCACTAATAATTCTATATTGTACTCTGTGTAAGTATTGTTGATTATGAAAGTGGTTCATTTAATAAAAGAAAAAGGCTCTATGATAAACAATAATAATGACCCACTCATGAACAAAGTCACAAGGCAGGGCATTATTGTAAGTCACAGGACTGCTGGTCACTGTATTTGTATTGAGTAACTTGATAATCTGTAGATTCTTTGTTCTTGAATTTTCTGCTTGACTTTGTGTCCAGATACAGTCCTTTTAACTCATTCAGGGTAAAATGCACAAATCTATAATACTTGCAAACTCTGCATCATGTGATATCAGGTGGCTTGTTCTGCAATTTTATCCCATATTGTACTCTGTGTAAGTATTGTTAGGCATAGAAGTAGTTCATTTAATAGAAGAAAAGGGTTTCATGATAAACAATAATAATTAGAAACCTTTCTAAAAAAAATTTTATTAGTATTAGAAAATTCTTTTTATTTACATATTTTTATTATTATTTAAAATTTAAAAATAACTTTATTTATAAATATAAAGAGTTGTACAAAATAAATATAAATAATATAAAAATCTATTCCATTTTAAATTGTATTACTAAAATAAGATTATATAATATATAAATTATGTGCAATAGCAATACATTTAAATTTATTAAAATTTATATCTAGAAAGTAAGAAAGTGATATAAATCTAACATAATAAACAATTTTTAAACTATTATTTAAAGCTCTAATAAGTGATTAAAAAGATATTAAATCATTATTTTAGGATTACTAAAGATAACATAAATATTTAAACTTTGTAATTGGTCAATATATATATTATAATCAGATGCATAATTTTTTTTTTTTTTATTTATACAATGTTCAAGTAGAAACTTTTTACATATAGAATTATAAGTTCTAAAATTAAAGATTTCTAAACTACATTTGTGCTATAAATTGGCACCCAATGTGACATTACACCTCCTATTTCCTGTGAGTGCTATTGCTAACTATTTCAAATTAGGTTTTAGCTAAGATAGGTTGGAGAAGACCTTCAAGTGATTGTCTGAACATTATCAAATATAAGTAGTTAGTAAATAGCCTTGTGTGAGCCATTTGATGATAAAAGAGTTAATATTTATATTTTGAAAAAAGGTTGTTGTATTGTTTGAAAATTTGGTAATGTTGGTAAGTAAATTTTAGTGCATTTGGATTTGGATGTAATGCTGTAAAATATTTCCTATTGGTGTTGATATATATTGTGAGTAAACCAGAAATCTTAATAGAACCAGTTTAAGAGATCATTTAAAAGCTGAAGTAGGAGGACATCAGTTTATTTATTAATAAGTGTTTTGATATTTTCATAAATAGTAGAAGTGAAGGTTCCAGTAATGATATATAAGATATATTTGAATTGAGGATTTGGTGTGTTGAATGTGAAATTTAGAAGAATATTTAGTAAGATTATTGAAGTTATGTCAGTAATTTTTAGTGATATTAAAGTAGCTTGTATTGTATTTTTGATTGATTGTAGAATGTTTGTAGTATTACTAGGACATAAAAATAAATGAAGAATATCTTCAGTATTTGTACAGTGAGAACAATTTGGAGTAGTATAAAGATATAAGTAACAGATATTAAGATTTTGCATAGTAGGTAGATTGTTAGTAAGTATCTTAATACGAAAAGAGTATTTTTGTAAGTTATTTTCAAGAGAGAAAATAATTTTAAATTTTAGAGACCATTTAATGTTTGTGATATTTTGAAAGAATTTTAAGTATAACCATTTAAGGATTTCTTAAATAGTTATAGAGTTTTTGATAAAAGTACAAACTTTGATAGGAATTAGATAGTCATTCCATATAAAATAGTTTGGGATATTAAATTTTGAGTTGTTAATTTTGAGAACATTTTTTGTAGTTTCTTGTTTGGCAAGTGAATCTGCTTGGTTGTAAAAGGAGTCTGTAGAGTGTGATTTTACTTTGTGAAGAGTAGTAGTAAGTTTTTAAGTTGTTTAAGATAGTTAATATAGTGAATAATATCAGATGCATAATTAATTATTACATTATATAAATATTTAAATATTGTTTTGTATATCTTTTTTGTCTCTTTAAAAAATTGGTTTATGTTTTAAACACTATTATTATTTTTTTAAATCTTATCAAGAATATAATTTAACTAAAGATTATATAGTATTAATATCTTTGCTAATTCACATTTGATATAAATAAAGATTCTTTTTGTAGTTTTGCAAATAACAAAATTTGCTTTTTCTAAAAATAGGTTTTTACTAAATTTTGTACTAATATATTAAGATGTTAAAGCTATTGGCATCAGACCAACTAGTAATAAGTTTCTAATATCATATTTTCAAATTGTTGTTTTTAAATTTTCTCAATCAAATTTATTACAAAAAGTAGCATCCTATAAATCAAATTGCAAGATTTTTTTAAAAATAGAAAAACCTTCATATTCTTTATAAGAACTATATTATTTTGCTAACTTATATAACTTATCTAATGCTATATAATAAATATTTGCAAAGATTTGTTTGTTGAGTTTGTATATTTTATTGTTCTTTTATAATAATTTAAATTTTTTATAAAGAGTTGTCAAACCAATCAAATCAATAGCAGTTAACTAGTTATTTTTGTTTATAACTTCATATTTATCTAGTAGATAATAAGTAAGATTAATTGTTTTATCAAATAAGTTTATAAAAAGATAAATTAAAGCTTGTAATTCTAAGAAATCAAATTTATTTTCTTTTAAAATATGTTTTAGAAAAATCACTACATATAGATTATAATAGAAATTCTATTTGTTATTTAATTATCTTAGTATATAAATTGGTGGTTGTTACTGTATCAAGATTCTTTTGATTAATTTCTGTTTGCCTTATCAATAAAATATCTGAATAATTACCAATTGTGCATTGTAACTTGTTGATTTCAAAAAATAATTTTCATGTCTTAAAAGTTTTTGTATTTTAAAGATTAGTTTTACATGCAATATATGCAGTTTCAAACTTTTTATCATATATTTCATTTATGTTTATATCTAAAAAGACTTATGCATTTTTAGATAAAAAATTAGTCCAATTACTATCTTTTAGTACATGTTTTATGAATAATTCTGAGATTAAAACACAATAGTAAAGATCTGCTAAAAGTAATTCTGATACAATAAATTTATTATATATACAGTCAGACCTCCTTATAGTCATCTCCTATATAATCACAAATTCTATATAGTCACATTTATAAAAAAACTAATATTTTTAATAATATTTATACCTCTTTATAAGCACAATCACTTTATAGTCACTATCATATTTTTATAATAACTATCTATATAAAATAGTTTCTATAAAATTACATGTTATGTAAAAATTTAACTAGTCAATAGAAATTAAAAATATACATCAATCAAAATTATTCTTAACTACATATTATTGTATATATATATTTTAAAAAAATTTTAATGATATAGATATGATAGAGATCTACAACAGAATACTTTTAGCTAGTAATCTAGTTAATAATACATTAGTTGGCTTAGTTGACTTAGCCGGCTAAGTCAGTTGATTTTTCAAAAACTAGCTAATGTATTTATAAACTAAATTCATTAAAAAGTCAATTTTAAAATCTTTATTTACAACTTGTATACAGTAATATACATAACTAAACTAAAAAAAAATTGATTCGTAGTATTGATAGTATTCATAATATTGCTATATTATTTAATAAACTTAATAAATAATCAGGCAAAAATCTTTATCCACTTCTTTATATCTCAACAGCATAAAA